TATGGCACTCCATGGCACCCTTGAAAGAATCTCAAGGCACCCCAAGGTACTATGGCACCCTGACTGAAAATCACTGCTTTACAGATGACTTGGGGGTCATCATTGACCACAAGATGAACATGAGCCTGCAATGCGATGCTGCAGCTAGTAAAGCGACCAAAACGCTGGCTTGCATCCATAGATGCTTCTCAAGCAAATCCCGGGACATCATTCTCCCCTTGTACTCGGCCTTGGTGAGGCCGCAGCTGGAGTACTGCGTCCAGTTTTGGGCTCCACAATTCAAAAAGGATGTGGAGAAGCTTGAGAGAGTGCAGAGAAGAGCCACGCACATGATCAGAGGTCAGGGAAGCAGACCCTACGATGACAGGCTGAGAGCCCTGGGGCTCTTTAGCCTGAAAAAGCGCAGGCTCAGGGGTGATCTGATGGCCACCTATAAGTTTATCAGGGGTGACCACCAGTATCTGGGGGAACGTTTGTTCACCAGAGCGCCCCAAGGGATGATGACTAGGTCGAATGGTCATAAACTACTACAAGACCGTTTCAGGCTGGACATAAGGAAGAATTTCTTTACTGTCCGAGCCCCCAAGGTCTGGAACAGCCTGCCACCGGAGGTGGTTCAAGCGCCTTCATTGAACACCTTCAAGAGCAAACTGGATGCTCATCTTGCTGGGATCCTATGACCCCAGCTGACTTCCTGCCCTTTGGGCAGGGGGCTGGACTCGATGATCTTCCGAGGTCCCTTCCAGCCCTAATGTCTATGAAATCTATTAAATTTATTTTACTTGTATTTATTTCTGTTTTTCATTTTGCAAGGTCATTTTTGTTCTGTTAAAATATCTCCTCTCTAAAATTTTCTAAAGTCAAATATAGAAAATTAAGTCTTAAGTATAATATATCCTCATCAGTTATTCTTGCTTGTGGAAGAACATTTAAAGTTATCTGAATAGAGTCAGATAAACCTGTCTACCTCATGGTCAGTGTCCTTTCATGTATTCCTCTTGTGTTGTGTAACCTAAGACAAATGTCTACTCTATCTACTTGTTTGTCATATGCCATCTATCCATTTATGAAGAAATTGTTAGCATCTCCTGTTTTGTTCATTCACTTTTAATTTAATAAAGTCATCATTTTCATAACAGACCATGTTCTTTCTTCATAAATATATTTTTTTCTCCCTGCTTTCTATTCCTATTTTCCCTTTTCTGATTTTTCTGCTCTATTGCGTAGCTTTCTCATTACTCATCATGTATGCAGTTTTGTGATTAATAAAGCTTTCTCCCCTCTGGGAGGTGGACACCTCTCTGACAATTACCTGAGAAGGCCTTGCTGCCACGCATGCTGCTGGAATCTCAATTGATTTGAATATAGAAAATAAGTCTGCTTATTTCCTTAATTCTCATTGTATGGATAATTGTTTGTTTGCCTAATTGGTTCTGCATCAGATACTCTTCACTTCTCTCTTGGGCAGTTTGTCACTTCAACATTTTAAAAACATTGGTGGAAAGAAACAGAGGTGAACAATTAAATTTGAAAGGTGAGAAATTATGGCTTGGAGGGACAGCTGGAGTGTGTCATCTGTGACAGTTCTCTTTCATGATATGGTTTTGTTGCTTCTCTGGTGGATGTGCAGCAAATTAGTTGCTGGAATGTAAAGACTGTATTATAGAAAGGTTCTGCATATACTCTGGTTTTCAGGAAAAAAGGTAGGCCATTTCTGGGTGGAGTGGGAAGTATTCTGTAATGCACACATACATTTAAATTCTGAACTACATATATGTACAAAACCCTGCTATCAAATCTTACTAATCACCCTTAGCTTTCAGCTTCCCAGTAAAAGATGAAATCTGGGATATTTGGTTTGCACTGAAATCTAAATGGGATTTTTTCCATAAGCTTCAGTTCTGCTAGGATTTCACCTTGGAACCAGATTAACATACTTGAAGGAACTGTATGGTAATCAGAGCATTCCTCTGCAGTGCGTTTTAGCTGGATTTAATTAATTAATTATTTTTGTAAGGCACATTTTTGCTAATTAGCCATGTCAATCCACATTTATCTTACTTTCCACATACAACATTTTATCTTTCTGCTGCTTGATGCACTGCTTAGATTTATTTTCCTTGCAATAAGATTCCTGTATTGGGAGTCTTTTCCTTTTATATGCTATTCTTACCTTTCTGTCTTCGTCTTTCTCCAAACTTACAGCTTTGTTGATTTTATTTTTTACATATGAAAGACTCATTTTGGAACAGTTAGTAGCTTTATACAGTTTCTTTGCACACGCGCGTGCGTGTGTGTGTGTGTGTGTGTGTGTGAAATTATCCATAATGTATTGCGGAGGTATAATTTCTCACACACACACACACACACACGCACCCTCCCCGCTTACAATCCCTGTTTGTGGTCTCAGTCATTTATTGTTGTAAAAAAAAAAAAAAAAGAGAACAGGTAAAGGAAAAAAGAGGGTTAATGGAGTTAACTTCTCCCTGGTTAATAAGAACTTTAAATAGTTACAAATTCCATTTTCTGTCTCATGGTAGAGTTCTTTTATTTCAGAGTATGATGAAGATTTTGAAGCAGATGAAGAGAAATCAGATGAAGAAGTTAATGAAGAAGGACAGGCTGATGATCAAATGAATGGAATGTCAAAGTCACCCACAGAAGATGAAAAAGATAATTTAAACCATGAAAAGGAGAGTAAAAGCTCATTGGAGAAGGCCTCTGACAGTGAGAAAGATGAAAGTGATGGATACTCCGACAGTGATTCAAAGGAGGGTAAACAAGGTTAGTTGTCATTTATTAATGTGGCTCTGATTAGTTGACCTAATCCATGTTTTACATTTTGCACATGCCCTGTAATGTCCATCTAGCCTGCATTGACACCAGGGTACACATTAAGTTCTGTCATTGATGTGACATGTATATCCAGCACAAAGTACCCACAGCCTGCTGAGCTGCTGCACAACCTGTTAGAGAGCCACGGCTCCTGTTTTGGCAGCACACTTACCCTACTGTCTTGAAGAAACCCACTGGTAACAATTTGTAGAGCAAACCAAGAGTTAAAGGCACGTGTCAGATTCTTCCCTTTTTACCTGCATTAGTCCTGTTTTTTGAGACCTTTCATCCCTCTTCACGGGATACATTAAATTAGGAGAAATTACTCCAGCTCTGAAGTTGCATGTATGGGTGAAGAGAAAGGAGAAAAGGGCATGTTATTAACAATGCTACAGCATTATAAAATACTTTATACTGACAGGGTGCCATTCATCTGAGGATCTTCCATATTAATTATACCTAGCAACACCTCTGATGTAAATCTCTTAAAACCTACCACTTGAAATGTAGTCAGCTCTGGAGTGCAATGCAGCACTTGTTTTAACAGCTCATAGCAAAGACTGCAGAACAGTTCAAATTCAGAAATAGAGATCTAGTTCCTTGACAAAATAACAGTAGATGCTTCAGAAAGATCCTCGTCTGAAGTAAATGGTTATAGCCTCATTTACTGCAGTGGAGCCATGATCATTTATACCATTTGGGGCTGTGCTCCTTTGGGTGGAATTTGGTGAAGACACCAAGTTAGCACTTCAATTTGTCTGAGAAGTGCCACTATCAATGATTATAAGTGGTTAGGACCTTGGCACAATGTTTCTTGTGGAAATGGCACATCCTTCTTGCTGTCTGCTAAGCCATGGTTCACCGACTGAAACGTTGATGCCACTCTCATCTCCCAAGTGATGTGGAGATTTTTAGGGTCTCAATCCAAACTGAGCTCATAAGCAGTGACAAGAGCCAAGCTGGTCTGGTGTGTTGAACTGTTCAATCTGTCAAGCCCCAAACCTTCAAAATGCAGCACCCAGGATAATTATTGACGAAGGAAGACTAAAATGATGTAGAATTTATTTTAGTAGTAAAAGTAACCTTTTCTGTAACCTCAGCTTTCTGAATCAGCATCCCTGATGTAAATAATTATGACCTTAATATTGCAAGCTACACATTTTTATAAATAGTCTACTAGACACTGGCAAGCAATTTTCAATATATTAAACAAACTGGAGGAAAATTCCAGAAGCTGGTGAATGAGCAAAAAATGAACTGCCTGCATTTTGGTTTTTATCTTTGTGGCTGAAGCAGTGGTTTGGTTTTCTTCTTCCTTCTACGTTTCATCCTTGATGGGTTGTTTTTTTCTCTAATGCTGATATGACTTAGGTACCTATTGTTTTTCATAATACTTCAGGAGTTCACCAATTACTGGTCTCATAAAATTTCCATATTAATATTCCTTACTTTTGGCAGTCCTAATATGTAAACTATTTCCCCAAATTAAATGTAAACATTACTTTCATGTTTGTATTTCTAGGTGAAGTAGATGAAGCAGCTATTTGTGAAAAAGTTGCAGCTGTGAGAAAGATGCAGTGTTTTTATAGAAACTATAAAAGCCAACAGAAACTTATCTCAGGTTTGAAATACATCTGTGTATAAAATCATTCTAATGATTAAAATATATTTTAATTTCTCCCCCTCAATAATCAGGAATAATTAATTTGCTGATTCCTGGACAATGACATAGATGTATTTAAAACATATTTTTCCTGCTTATTGGTATGTGGCATAATCAGGTTTCTTGTGACCAAATCAGTTGCCCCTTGAACTGTATCCTTTATAATGATCAAGTGAAAATATTTGAGTGTAGAGAGGGACTGCTAATACTGCACTCCTCCTTGGTTCTTCCTAAATTAAAATGCTTCTCATTTTGCTCTTAAGTATTGCAACCCCAACCACACAGCTATTGCTAAAGTTCAGTTAGGTGTTTCCACTAACTCTGGAATCTCTAACCAGTTGAAGTATATTAACACTCTTAGTTGTGTGCATAATTGAGGGCATGATATGGCTGTTAAAGAATATCTGCTGTTCCTCTCATTGACAATATGCTTCCAACAGGATGTACAGGTAATTACATTACATCCATTAAACTAATTTTTAAATTGCTTTGCTTTAACTGTAGATGTTAATTAAACTAAATGAATTATAGTAGCAGAAACTGTATTTCCTGGCCAGCCCCGAACCAGCACTCCTTACCATACAAATAAATAAGGCGCTCTGATTTTTTTCTATTTTTAATCAGTTTTAAATACACCTCTTCACTGATCCTGTGGGATAGTAATTAAAGACTTCCTCCTGGATCCCCAGTGAGAAATTATTTTCGGTAGAATGATCAGACGTATCAGTTAGCTGTGAGACTCTTTACTGAAATACTGTTAGTGGACTCCTCTTTGTTCATGGCGGTCAATAGTTATATGGACCACAGCTCATTGAGTTAATATTTCTTTCTCTACAGGGAAAAAAAGCAGAAAAAGGGACACTGGGAAGCCATTAGATACATAAAATGAGCATGTTTAGCACAAGGGGCCAATGAAATAAAAAGACCAGCCATCTTGGTTCATCGCCTACTGCTTGACAGTACACCAGTAACACTTTTCATCAAGTTATCTGCTTTCTAATGCTTGCTTTGTTTTCTCTTTCTGAAGTAACTCAGCTACTTAGTTAAGCCATTTATACCCACTGCTGTTTCAATCTGAATAATTTTTCTGGTAGCCTCGTGGCTGCTTCTGTCATCCCATCAACATGCCATTATGCATTGCACCAGGCAGGGGTCTCTCTGCATCTCTCATCATCTTAGCTGTATTAGTGCCATTACTTTCTCAGAGGGTTGGCTGTGGTTTCCCACACAGACGTGTTGGCAGGGTGTATTCCTGGAGGAGTTCTCCATTTCTTATTTGATCCACAAGACACTGTTAACCTTCTCATCATGTTTTTCTCCCAGGCTTATGGGGAATGGATGGATTGAGAACTGGCAAGTTGTTTTATTTTCTTTTATTATTGCCTTTATATTTGCTGCTGGAGTTGCACTATGGAACTGGTACCCAAACACAGGATGGGTGCCCTCGGGACACTTCTGTACATCAAAATGAATAACCAAATAAATGCTGAAAGTGGGTGGGAAGTGGGAAGTTAGGAAGACTTGTTAGAGAGCATTACTTTTTTGGCAGTTTGTGCTGCAAATGTATCCACTCTGTATTCCCAGTTCTAGCTGGCTTTTCCCTATAGATGTGGAAACAGTTGTCAACAACATTCACATCTACCCTGACATACATATATACTGAGAGTGGAAAGTCTGAGAGAGCTCCATCATTTTATTTAGCACCAGCAGACCATGGGCTGTCATATGCACTTGGGTCTCGCAATTTGGGGCCTGTACTAGAACTTGGATTTTCAGGGATCCAGGGTGTAGTTGTATTGGTCTAGAGGCAAAAGGAATCAGAACTCGTGGTAGCTAGTAGAAGATATCACCTCTTCCATGAGTTCTGGTTCCTTGTGGATTTGCAGGGAATTCGGATTTGAACTCCTGAATTCTGAAGCCAAGAGCACTCCTGACTAGAGGGCTGCCAACATCTCTGAAAAATAACAGGTCTCCTACAAGAGATTTCTATTATTCAAGGTGGAAGAAATCTCTGGAAATCAGTTGACACTTGGAAAATTTTATGAGTATGGGCTGAAATCTTGCCAAAACAGCTTGGGTCAAATCCTATCCTGCCTATTAGATGTTTAAGTAGATGTAGGCACCAAAATGCAATCCTAATCACTCAGCTCAAATTTCTGAAAATCCATTGATGTGTCTACTTTGGTAACACACCATCATCTTACCCTTAATCCTCAATGACAAGAAAGCAGGGAGGAGGAGCACTCCTTCATCTTCCATGTAAACAGAAGCATTTCAAGGGTGTGAGGAGAGGGGAACAAGATCCCACTCTTCTGCCTAAGTGCAGAGGTAACAAACAGCTGGAATAAGATTAAACCCCTTGTGAAATTTCACTGCTGTGGGATCCAAACCAGTTCTGAACATTTTCTAGTCTTGAAGAACTAAAAGCCTGCCGTAGGAAGGGATTATTATATACCGAAATCCATTACTTGACTAGCATCACAGATCCTCAGCTGGTTTTGCCAACTTCCCTGTGATGAATACAGCTTTGGTTTTTACAGGGCTATCTAGCAATACTTTGCTCAAGCCAGGCTCTCTTGCTATTGAAATGAAAGGTAGTGTTTATTAGAAGTGAGTGCTGGCAAAGAGTCAACTTTTCAACGTACAAGGTACCTCTTCAACGATATAAAATAGAAGCTGACATTGTGGGATACTGAACTCGGGCGTCAGCAAATCCTTCTATTGTACATGATTAACTAGCTGGCTTTGATTGTCTGGCTAGGCTTAGTTTAGCCTTGATGACACTTGCCTCAAGAGGGCAAGAAGTTACAAAATATGTTACTTTTGTGAAAAGTATGGAAACTTTCAGCTCCATCTAACAATTGAAGCTGATCTATTTGATGAATGCTCTTGTGCTACTCAGCATGGCAAATATAATGCTGTAAGACTGGTAAGAAAAGAAGAATCCTTCTCAGGAATGGTATGTGAGATTTGTTCTTAATCCTTTTAGAGCAAGATGACTTTTCTTACTGTGTTTTTTGTAAGTACTCCAGGCACTGATTCACCCATTGAGAATGTATTGTGATCATCAGCAATAAGTGATATGAAGACTTCTGGGCAAGAAAGCAGAATGTTAATAGAGACTACAGATGGGGATACTGTTTTGTGATCAATTTAGATAGCTACTACTAAAAAAGAAGTGAGAGAGAGCTGGGAAGTTAAAAAAATCCCAAGTCAAGCCAAGCTCTATAACTAAAACATCTACAAAAAGGCTTTATACACTGAAAGAATATTTACTTTTTGCAGTTACATATTAGACATATCAAGTCAAATTCTGATCTAACCCATTACATACAACTTATTTAAGTTCTCATGTACCTTGTCATATTTATCAACTTGGAAAACATGGGATTACATAAATTAGGAAATAAGAGATTTCCCCTGTATCCTGTCTATCTGCTATGTACTCTGGTCTGTTCTGTCCCTGTATCCTGTCTATAAGGATGGCTTCCTATAGAACTGTAACTATACTCTCAGACAGATCATGTTGGGTTTGAACTCTGCACCTTTTATCTACAAGACTGAGCTGCTACTTATTGAGGTGAAAAGTCATCTCCAATAACTTTGAAACAGTAGTTGACTCACGAACCTCAAGTTGCCATAGGAAGAACTGATGAAAAGTTAATATGGGTAGCAGCATTTTCACTAGGACTGGTTGAAAAAAAAAATAGTTTAGTTAACAAAAAATCTGTTGAAAGGTAGAAGACTTTTTTTTCCTTTTTCTCAGTGATAATTTTTATCTTGTATATATAAAAATATTTGATTATTTTTGTGTGGGAAAACATCTTTTTACATTTTTTCACTTGGATAAAACAAAGAAGGACATGAAAGAAAAGCATGAGAAAGTTGTTTGTTACCCATTGATATGAAACAGCATTGCTCTAAAATGTAAAAATGTTTGCTTAGAATTTTTTGGGGGAGGGGGATATTTGTTTTGATTGCAAAGTGCTTGTCAGTCTGAAAAAATGTTTAATTTTTTATGGAAAATTTTCAGTGGATGATGATATTTACTAGTCATTTGTCTAATCTGGTTTTAAATTGCTAAAGACATAAAACTTAAATCAATCTTTTGGGAGACTATTCTAATATCTGATAGATCTCATCAGTGGGGTATTTTTAAGGGTATTCATTGCGAAAAATATTTTTTTCATAATCTAACACCATTATTATTAGTTACAACAATTCTTCCTTCCTGATGTTTGTGCTTCCAAATTTGTGTAGATGGGTAGCATATCTCTTGAGCCATTGTTGCCCAAGTTATACGCATTTGGTTCTTTCAGTCTTTCCTTGTAATTAAATCCTTCTAATGTCTCTATCCATTTTTCTTGTTCTTCCCTGTTATCAGTAACAGAGAAGCCTAGAAATGAATACATTGTCCTGAGGTCAATCCTCAGTGTTCTATAAAGAGAACTCACCATCCTGGTCCAAGAAGTATTGTGCCCAAATAATTTTTTGTGCATCTGCATGTCTCAGACACTTGGACACCTTTTGCCATAAGCTGTATCCTGTCCCTTCATGGCATCGTAGTGTTAAAAAGAGATAATTAAGCTCCCCTAACTGGTTGTGTGCTTTGGCTCATATAGAGCTGGTTCAGTGACAACTTGTTTCTGGTCCCATCTAGTGTAGGTGGCATGGCCACAAACACTGCTGAATTCTAGCCATTCCTAGCTGGCATGCACCCCTCTTTGTTCCCTTTCTTATCTTCTGCACCAGACTGAACTTTCTAGATCCAGGAGTTGGGCCCAAACTAGATTAGTGTTATTCCTTAGTCTTAGGCTGTATGTTTTTATGTTTTAACTAATACTGGCATACTGCTGACATGTTGTGAGGAAGTTGAGGTTGCTTTCATGGAGGTTCTCCCTTTTGTCCTTGTGTATGATGTGGGCAGATCCAGGATTTTCTAAAGGGGGATGTAGCACACCACCCCTCAGACCATGACTGGAGCCCCTGGGCTGGTGCGGGACATGGGGAGTCAAGGATAAAGTGCATGAAGGTGGTAACCTACCCATCACTGCTACCGTCCCTACCAAATCCACTGTTCCTGGCCTGCGCCAGCCAGGAGCTGTGGGGATGGTTGTGTGGTTTGCTGGGGACAGCAGTGGCAGAGTACAGGTTTCTTCCGCCACTGCCTTTTCCCTGCCTAACACCATGTTAGGTGTCTATGCTAGCCAGGAGCAGATGCTGGAAGGAGGAACCTGTGTGTTGTTGCTGCTGTCCCCAGCTGAGCCCAGAACCCCATGCAACCACGCTCTGCACCTGGAACAGGGCAGGAGCAGCACTGGGTCTCTTCCCACTCCTGTGTCAACCAAGGACAGTGGTGGTGGAGGGGCCTGGGTTCCTCCTTCCAGCACCTGGTCTTAGCCAGTGGAGGACACGGGGGAATGTCAGTGAACAGGTTCAGTAGCAGGAAACTTGCCTGTTGCCACCATTGTCTCTTGTCAAGCCTGGCACTGTGAAACCACTCCGCACAGGCCCTGCTTGGAGTGAGCCAGGAGTGGATCTGGGCTTTCCCCTGCTCCTGGTTATCTGGGGACAGCAACTGTGGCAGGAGGAAGGAGTGGAAGGAGGGTGCAACCATCATGGCCTCATCCCCCTGGATCTGACCCTGTGGGTAGATACAACCGCTAGGATTGCTTGAGTCCTGAAGATGGTGATTGATAGAATGTAAGGTGCTTCAAAAGAAAACTGCTGCTCTAGTACGCCTTGAAGAATCCCTCAGTTAGTGGTAGGGGTGGTGGACAAGGTGAACTTTCAACAGAATATGAAGTGTTGTTTGCTGAGTTCCCTCTATTAACTGCTCCACTTTGAAACATTTTGTGTGTTTCCAAATGTGGTGCTAAATGCATTATTAATAACCAGCATTGTCTAAAATAAAATGTTGGCCCTCAATATAACTTAGTCTCCAAGAGTGGGTTCTGTATTCCAAAGGTGTCAAAGGAGGAAAGTCAGCTCTTTAGTAATACAGTACCGGGAATTCTTCAGTGATAGTATCTTTTAACAACACAGTCTTAGGCCTTCCCTTTTATCCAACTGGTTTAAAAATCATATTCACTCCTGAACAGGCAGGGCATGCAGCTACCAGGGATGAGTTGCCAAGTCCCTGCATTTTTACTCTCATCCTCTAGCATCTGTAGTAAGGGATGCACTAATAAAATATTGAATTTGTTTGAAAATGGCGCCTAGATTCCATCAGCACATCTATTTGGTTGTAACCACAAAAAACATTAATCTTTTGTAGGCAACAATATTGGATATACTGGTAAGTTATTACTTTCTTTGGGTTTCCAGGTAAATGTGGAATATAACAAGGTTTTTTAGTCTTTAAACTAATTCCAGCATTCTTAAATGTGTTGATTAAATTTAGGCATTTGAATTTTGATATTTAGGTGCCTAAATGACTTAATTTTCAAAGTTTCTGAACAGCTGCAGCTGCTAATTTCCTTGGGCATGCAAAACATCTGGAAGCAGGGGGCTGATTTAAGTCTCTAACTATGGAAACAGGTGCCTAATTTTAGGCCACCCTACTTTGAATATTTTATATTTAAGCTTTTTTAAGGATACATATGCAGAGAAAAGAAGCTTATAAAATGTAGCCTTGTTAGTTTCTCCTTGTTGTGCTTATTGCTTTATCACAAAGTGATTTTTCCCTATTTTTCAAATTTTCCATGACTAAAGTATGTTCATGTTCTGTATGCTTCTTACATTGAACAGACTGTCTCTGCTAGTTCACTGTTTTTCTTTGGTCATTTACAATAAATATCTCCTTTTCGGTATAGTGCTAGTAGCAAAACTCTTGCTGACGTAACAAAATCCTGGGAACATAAATGACCCACATAGTAACTTACATATCAATGTGTTTGTATGACTGTTACCGTTACTTCCCCTCTCCTCTGCCCTAACCAAAATGGGCTCTGTACTTTGTCTTGAAGTTATCTGGGCCATGAGCAAACACTGGGCAGAGACTGAACTTTGAATTCAGTGGGACTATTCACTTGCTTAAAGTTAAGCATGTACTTAGACTGCAAGCTATTAGGAGCAAGGATTGTGCATTTGTACAGTAACCAGCACAGTGAAATCCCGCTCTTGTTGAGGTTCCGAGATGCTCCTGTAATCCAAGTGCTATATGGTAATAATAGTAACAGGACCAGGAGTTTACCATTTATATATAACACAGCGGGGAGGAAATCTCATCTTACTTTATTTCATCTCATCTCAGCATTTATATTGCACTCATCACCATAGCACCTGAATATAATAAGTTGTGCAGGTTTAACAGAGGGTTGAATTTCAACTTTCATACAATTTTTTTAACAGTTGAGAAACCTAAGGCCTTATTTTTGTATGTAATGTTACAGGTCAGGCATAAAAAGAACATTCAAATCCTTGTGGACTGTAAGTCTATGAATAAATTGTAAAGTATCATTGACCAGTTCTCCTAGAAATCCGAACTATTTATCTGATTGTATGAGCCTCCCTTTGCTCCAGCTGGCCTATATATGTTCTTGATTTTTTTCGAAATTGCAGTGTTCTCAGGGAGTCTAGTGGCTGAAGTCATTCTAAACCGTTGATCTCTAAGTTGCAGCTTCAAATCCAGTACAGCCTGGAAGTGATTGCGAGCCTAACCCTGTGTTAGCTGTTCAGCAGAATATCTGTTGAAAATTTTTCTGATCAAATCCTAATAGACAGGATAACATCACAATGGTACTAACTGTCTATCTCAGTGGACAGGAGAAGGCTGGGATACCCATCTGACCAGCTACCTTGATGGCAATAAAGGCCTTTCTAGAACACAGATGAGGCCCTTGGGGAAGTTTTGTGGGAAGGCTTTCAATATCCCGCATCCCTTATACCAATTCTGTGGATGAATGGAAGGCTTGTTAACTGGGCTGAAAATCTGTCCCTTTTGCCAAGCATTATATTAATTTCAGGTCAGATTCTATACTGAAACGCCACATCCCAAGTTCTACCGAAGTTAATTGGTGTTATACGTGCAATTTGTATATTTTGGTTTTATTTTAAAAATTGTACAGGAATTTTCAACGTATCTCAGAGAGGTATTTAGAAAATTCGCAGAATTACAGTGAACATTTTTTCAGACACAGAAAGAATGTCAGAATAACAGGACTGCACTGCAAATAGCAAGGTTTAATGTGCTATGGCAGGAGTTGGAAACCCCCAACACATGTGCCAGACCATGGCATGCAAAGGCGTTTTGCTTGGCACGCATGCCTCGGGACAGAAGGTGGGGCAACCGTGAGGGGCCCAATCCTTTTTGTGGCAGTGCAACCCTAGCCCCTTCCCCACCATCCACCTCGAGGTGTTCATGTACCCACTGCAGGCAACGAGCTGGGCTGGGGCTCTGTGGACTCCGGTGCAGCTGCTTGCAGCCTCCTGGCTGCCTGCCACAGCCGGCCAGCTCTGGGTAGGCCCCTGCTGCACGCCACAGAGCCTGGGCTGCTCACAGCATACAGGCCCCTTGCAGCATCCTGCCATCTTCCCCGGCACACCAACATCCTACAAGACAGGGTTGCGGGTGTTTTTGTCACTCTGCCCAAAAATGTTGCTTACCCCTGTGCTATGGTATTGCTCTCTGTTTGATCTCCAAAGGTGTTCTAGTAGATTCATTGAAATACTAAGAGCACTTTAGCACATTCCTATTGTGAAACTTTTGTGGTAATGTAAGACCTACCTGCTCTTAGACACATTTATGGAATGATTTCATTACATGATCAGAAAAAGCATTAACTAGCTTTTGATTAAATGCATGCCTTTTGATAGTTTCAGGTTAAATACCTCTAGGTACAATTGCTGGAACTTTTTGGGCAGACCCTCATGTAGTGTAAATCAAAACACTCCTGGTTTACGCCAGATGAAGACCAAGCCCTTGGTGCTGCTGAACAATGACTACAAATGTTTTATGAAAAAATAATAAAATGAAATTGTTTGCTGTTTGTAGATAGGAAGTCTGCATCTCCTTTCTCATCCAGCAGTACCCTATATAGCAGTGAAGATGAGTCTGAAGCTGAAAAGACAAAAGACAATATTGCAGGCAATGAAAAGGAAGATATTGAAAAGACTTCTGATGATCAAACATACGCACAGTGTGAAAAAGAGAACAAGGACAGCAAACCACTGCAAATGGAGGAAAACTTGGAAATGGAAGCAGACGAGGAGATGGAAATGGATGAAACCAGAAAGATGGAAGCAGAGGATGTGTCATTTAGAGAAGGAAGTAAGACTCTTCCTGAAAGTATCATGGAAACATTGCCCCAAGACACAGATGAAATCAATGGGGAACTCAAACATGGGTCAATAGAAAATAACACAAGGGAAGATGGGGAGGAGGCTGGAAATAACATGAGGGAAGATGGGGAGCAGGATGTTCTAGTGCATTTGGAAAGCAGCACTGTGGAAGCAGAGGATAGAAACAAGGAGCCTCTTGAGGTTGATGAAGGAGGTGGTAAGTACCATCTTTCAGCAAAACTGTGATGCATCCAGTGCATGTAAGTGTGGTTTGATTTGTCCATAGAGGTAGTAAGGATTTGGCATGAGAAATACAGCTGTTGGCCTGTTTTAGAGATACAATGTGAAAGTGTTAGAGTTTCGCTCTACTCTGTGCAGTCACTACCATGATGTCTTCTGAGCTTGTTTCCTTGTACAGTTTTTACAATGTAAGGCTTTGGCTATTCTTTCTTCATCTCTTATCAGTCTCATAGGCTGCATATAAAGCAAATACTTTATTTTTCCATAGGCAGCGGTGTCATGAAATTTGACATCTCATGTAATTTTATAAAACTTGGTGCCTTAGTACTGGGAATCCTGGATAATTTGCATGTCAGCTCAGGTGAACTTTTGGGTACTTTTTATTATACAATATTCCAGAAGGATCTCTAAAGTCTGTTGTGTGTCATGCTGCAATGGATAGGTGACTAAACTTCGAGTCAGCAGAGATGGCTTCTGTCTCAGCTTCTTCACTGACTCACTGTCTCTCATTGAGCAAAATTTCCCTGTGCCTATGGATAATAATAGTATAGTAATGCTCCTATTACAAGGATATTTTGGATCCTGGGCAAGGCACTTGCATAGCCACATAAATAAGGTTTTGCAGGATTAGGTGGGTGGCAAGAAAGTTAATTTTTGATCTGGAATATCATCAGACTAGTAAACAATCTCATAATCAGTGTGTGTAAAATAGAGAAGTGGCCTTCTGCAGTGATGTAGACATAAAGAAGGAGAGCCATAAGCCACACTAGACAACCTCTGACTGTATTTTTATGTATGCTGATTTTGCAGTGAAACACATAAAGCTCTTGCTTTTTTTTTTTAAATAGATGTATGTGGTTGGTTTCTATTGCTTTCTGTTCAAGTACAGCATGTATCAAATAGTGCAGCCTGTGTGGAATAAACATCCTTGAATGCTATGCCAAATTATTTGCAAGTCTCTCAATGCTGAATTGCTTTTGGTGGCACTGTGCATTGGTTTTGCTTTGTTAGATATTCAGAATTCAAGAAAAGAAAGCAATATAGGATTGGATGATTATACTGAAGTGCTTATAGGTGTGTTATTTCTTGAAACTTTCCTTTCACTTGTGTGAGGGAAATCTCAGTTAAGTAACTTCACCCGTGTGCTGTTAAATGAAAGAAGTAAGTCGTGTTAAAGAAGGAAGCTGTTTCTAGCCACACAGGTAGGATTTAAAGCTGCCCTACAAAATGGACGAAAGAAGTAAGTGCTGAGCTAGTGACTTGCCCCCAAGTTACCACAAAACAATATTACTGTTCTTCATTAACACAAATTTATTTGTGCTGTAATTAGTCAGTTAGCAACTAAAGTGCTGAATAAACATAGAATGTGGGGTGAGCTCTCTTCAAAAAAGAACTAGTGCAGTTGTCTGGATGGGGAAGTGACAGGTGGGGTAAGTGCAGTGCAGATAACAGACTACATGCTTCCAGACCTAATCTTACAGTACTTTACTGCTTGGAAAATGAGGGCAAAGCAAGAACTAGGAGGACAAAATACTCATTTAATCATGGAAGCTGAAGATAGGAAAAGCTTTGTAGATCACAGTGCAGTCTGTCTACCTGTCAGCACAGGATTGTCAAGGTAAATTTTTGGTGATCATCACGAATTTGTCCAGGAACTATGTCCAGAGAAACCAAAGATTAAGAATAAGGGCCCCTTAGTTTTATTCCATCCTTTGGATGGAAAGGTTTTGAGGAACAGCACATGCTTCATTCATTCAGGCATGATCCCGTTGGCCAGTTTGCGACTCTAGGAAAATGCTGCACATTCCCAGCTATAGCCAGCCCTTCAGCGTGCTGAGGGACATCCATTTCCAGAGCAACCAGTGGGAAGGAGCTCAGCACCTTCCAAGGGCTGCAGAATGAGCTCTCTTCCGTACTTAAGCTTCATTCTGTTTCTGTTAAACTCTCCTTAGAGACTAGTCACCACTGTCCTTCTCTGTTATCTGGTGTTTCTGCCCTGCCCTGATGGCTGGCAACACATGCAGTTCTTGACACCGCTCCTGCTAACCAGACTGGTCCCAAATCCCAAAACAAAGTTAAGCAGAATTGCTTTACATGCAAAGGAGACCAAAAGAAGAAAATATCACTTGGCTCTATTGTGCTGTTGCGGGAGGCTGGGCAAGCCTCTATGAATGGGTATGCTGGGACCTGAAGAAGCAATGTGAACACCTGAGGATGGATCCTGCTGTGCATCCTCTGGTCTTGTGCTTCTTGTGACATTCTCTCTCAACTTGAGAGAGAGTTATCTGAGCAGGATTTGTCATCCTCTTCTGGCCTCAGTGTTGATTGACTGTCAATTCTCCCCTGCTTAGATGTTACACAGACAATAAACTGTGAAGAATAGGAACTGCCAGCTCATCAAACTGTAGGACTATGATCAGGTCAAAGTAATAATTTATGCACCACACTTAACAAAACTCCAGGGGTTTCAATGAGCCTAAAGAAACTGCTGCCTTTATCTTGATACAGCAAAGGACTCTCCTGAGGGTTGAAAGCCTCTCCTCTTCTGCAGAGTGGAACCAGCACCGTCATTGTTCTTCAAATTGCTATTGCAGTAGTGCTCAAAAGACTCCCACTCTTACCCCCCATCAGGATTTGGATCCCATTGTGCAAAGTGCTATATAGACAGTCATGAAGACCTACATCCTACTTTGAAATGGTAAAGGGGGTCTGTAGTTTCCGATTAAATGCAGAGAAGTGGAGTGACTTCACATGGAGATAACAACCTCGTGCATCTTAAGTAAAGTGCTATGGACTGTGAGAGATTTTGTCTTCCTCTGCAGTGGAGGAGGGGAAACCATGGCCCTCTTCCTTGGATCTCTCAGTGTTTAAACAACTTTGCAGCAGCAGGCATTGGCTGCAGTGGTCCCCTTGCTTTACCTGTAGTGGATTACAGTGTTGTGGTTTTCTCAGGACTGGCTTTATAGTCTTGCGGATAGATTCATAGACTGTAGGGCTGGAAGGGACCTTGGAAGATCAGGCAATGGATTTGTATAGGATAGTTTGGATAGCGATGATCCTGCCTCAGGCAAGGAGTTGGAATAAATGAATTCTGGAAGTTTCTTTAGCCTGACTTCCGTGTGATTCTGTGGTTAGTGGGAGATGAGGCCTGTGGAAAAGGAACAGCAAAGAGGGGAAGAAAGGCTAATTCAGTGGGAAGGAAGAGGCATGGGGAAGAGGTGAATAGAATGCAAAGGACTAAGGAAAAAAATGATTATTTTACTACAGTACTAGAGAGAAGAGCAATAGCAAGTGTACACAGGGGACTGCTTTCTGCAGTTTGGTTTCTAGTGTCTTGTCCAGGTAAAACTGTAAAATCCCCAAGTGAATTGTCCATTTTCTTCAGGAAATTGTGCTATAGTCTAAAAGCTATCATTCTTAGGAAACATCCTCTAGTTTTTATATGACATGGCTCCTTCAATTTTAACCCATTGCTCCTATGAGCTGGGTAAGAGAGCTTGGGCCCAGGCCTAGTGGGGATGGAGAAGGAACTAGAAAGAAATAGTGACACTTAGAAGTATATGTTGGGTGGATGATGTTGTAAATTAATGGAGTAGAAAGGAAAATATAAAGGAGAAAAGGAAGTGAAATTGTGGAGAGAAGAGACAATAGTAGAGAACTGTCTGGTGGAAAAGGTGAGAGAGGGAAGGAGAGAATAAAGGAAGTGGAATGAGAGGACATGGGAACAAATAAGGAGAGAACAGTGCAAGAATGATGAAAAGAATTAGAAGGCAGGAAATCGAATGGTAATTTGGTCCCTTAACTCCACTTAAAGTCAATGGGACATAATTATCTTCCTTTTTCTAGACCCTTCATTGCCAAGCTTGGTTCTCTATTAGAAGATGGCTTAAGCCTCTTCTATTATACACACAGTTAGAAGGTTCAACAATTTGGTGGTTTATTTTCCAGTCTCAGATGCATTACTACCCAGTAGTCTACGTAGCTTGTTGGAAGGAAGAATTTCTATATACTTATTCACATACATGCCAAGTGATCTTGCTTCTTATGTACACTGTTTATATATATATTTTGTATAATGCAATACCATTATCTGATAGCAGAAAATTTCCATGTTTTGTATTTGAAATGGGGTACAGTTGATAGAAATGCAATGATGACAGCACATTTCCCTTAAAATTAAAATGTAACATGTATTGCAGTTTCATTTGTATAAATGGACAATTCAAGTATATTAATTTAGAACATGTCTGTATCACCTGCAGTTTGTAAGTTAGATTCAGACTCATACCCAGTAGAGGACTAGCCAGGGCAGTACATACAATGGATTTGATCTCAGTACAACAACAGAAAGACCTCAGTGGGAGAGAAAAGAGAGAACAAACTCAGCCTGCTCACAGAATATCAGGCCATATTTTGAGGAGCTCTATGTCCAGAGGGCAAAATGAAGTTGGAAATGGACCGTGTACAGTACATGGGTCTCCTGAAATAGAAGGTACCATAGCCCTGACAGAGCCACTGAACAAAGAACTGGCAAGTGCAAGCCTGTAAAGAAGAGGCATAGTTACATTCATTGAAACTACCATAGAGTGGATCAGCAGTATAGGAGTGGAAAGGAAACCTTCAGTAAATCTGCACTGACTGAAGATCCTGAACAGAATATTGAAAAATAATAACTACCCATTTACTAATGGCTGAGGGTATGCTACCTGATTTATGCAGGGCAAAAGTTGGCTCTGCTTCTGATATCAAGAAAGTGCCCTGGTATGCTGTGCAAAGTGAGCAATCAGCTTCCTGACAACATTGCCATAGCTTTTGGCAGGTAGTATTGGGCATTGAGAAAATACAATATGATGTATGTGAAGAGTATAGTGATTGACCATGGAAGGAGATTCTGCAGCATCATGAAGTCTCATCCTGACCCTGCCAAAGGATCAGAACAGACTTGTCCACTTTAAGCAACAGGACAACGTATCTCAGTGGATTGCAGCAGAGTTTAAGTGAAGCAGTGCCACATAAATTTGACCACAAGGGACCATATTTTATTCTACTTGGGTATCTATGTGGACTTAGGCAACTAAGTGCAATTCTATTCCATCCATTAATGCATATACTTTTAGAACACACCATTATCTAGAACTTGAGTCACAAAAAAAAGTGAGGAGGAGGAGGACCCATTCACTTTTTGCATGAACTCTGTTTCAGGGACTTGGTCAGGGTGGAAAAGAATCATACTTAGGTGCATAACTGCTCAAGTGTCCAATAGGTGGAACAGAATCTGGCTCAAGATGTCTTTCTTTTGCTACCTAAGAGCAATAAGAAAGCAGAGCTGGTAGCAAAGACAGCTACAACAAACACAAAACAGATGGGAAGGCATTTCCACCTACTACTGCATCATCACAGTACAGCCTCCCTGGGCACATCTGCATAGGCAGGAATGTGCATTCCCCGGGGGAGAAATAGCAGCAGCACAAATATGTGCCACTGCTGTTTGTCCTCAGGGAAACACACATGCTCACTTGTCTGGATTGTAGTCCAATACACAGAATAATGGATCAACCCAGGTATTGACCCCAGCCTCGCCTCCCTCTTTCCCCCCATGTGCATGGATTGATGCTGCTGCAGTTCCCTCAGGGCCCTAGGTAAGGAGTAAGTCCAGGTGCTGGTCCCAGCCTCCCCTACTCCACCCGGGACAACTTGCCCCGTGCCAGAGCACACGTGCAGGGGTGTTCCCCAGGGACTAATATGTGCACTAATATGTGCCGCTGTTATTTGTCCCTAGGGCAATGCATGTACATGCTCATCTAGACACTCCCCCTGTGTCTAGATTGTAGTCCAACTTACTGAGTAATGGGTCAGAGAAGCAAGTCTACTGCAGTCTAGTGGAGGAACGAGTGATGGTACAGAGAACAGCTTGGAGGACTCCAAGTAAGTTGAGCAGCCCTCTACCATTAAAGAAGCCAAAAAGAGGCCACATAATATTGAAAAGCAGGTCAGTACCCAAATGCCAAATAGCTTTGTGTAACACAAGGGTAAAAAGCAGCTGGTTCAGGCTGCAGCAGGACACAAGTAATTTAAAATGGCTGTTGACTCATAACATTGGTAGAAATGAAACCAGAACCAAACGTAGAGTAGCAGCAAGCATTCAGCAAACCCAGAGAGACAGGGCAAGCACCAGGAAGATGGAAAGAGCTTCAAGCATCAGCTGCCTTGATAAAGGAGAGTCAGAAGAAATTAGGTATGTGAGCAATGCAGGGGCCCAACAGACCTCTACCAACAGACTACAGACAACAGAAGGGTGGAATCAAGTCCCCTGCTAACACAAGAAGAGCTGTATATTAGTTCAGAGAATTATGATGCAAACAGTAAGGGGGCATGCCTCTAGGGTTGGTTACATATAGTACTATCAACTGCCCCCCAGCAACTCAAAAGTACTTGCACAAAAGATACAACAAAAAATTGGTGAAAGATCTAGTAAACTGCTTGGAACTTGGGAGGAGGAGCAGGGATTGAAACACAAAAGAGTTTTGGAGAAACGCCAGGCAGGCAGTCTGTCTTTATGTGTAAGCAACTTATTTGCAGCATCTATGTAAATACTTTTTTCAATAAAAAGCTGGGTTTTTTCTACAAACACAGAATATGATTGTGAAATTACCCAGCTCACATATGTAAACAATTCTGGAAATCATAGCACAGCTTTAACTATGCTGCTGCAGTTGCACAGGTATGTCTCGATTATAGAAGAAAACGCTAGCCTTGTATCTACGTATATAGTTGCATTTAGGAATAGTATATATTTTGGTGCTCATGCACGGGTATTTACATTCAGAAATTTCATGCATGAATACAAACATCAGACTTGAAATAATTCTCATCTGGGGAATTGGAAGAACCATCAGAAGTGCATATGAAGATTTAGCATGTACAATTATGGTATAAAGCAGAAAAATAAAGGTTTTTCCGTTTATCAAATATCGTTGCTTGTGCATGCAAACATCTTGATAAAAGTAGTCTTGCTGCTTTGTGATAGTTTGTGCCTGATTTCTGCCTGCATGTTTGTAGAGTCTCTTGTATTTTATATATATATAGTTGTCTTTTGATTTTAATATAATTCAAAGCATTATCCCTGGTGATGGTTTACTGGATTTTAATTAACCCTGCACTAGTATTGTAGATCTTGTTAATTTTGTTTAAGATAATTGCACAATTTCTTTCCCCTTTATGCTTTTTGATGATTTTCCCTACTTGCTCTCTGTTTTGTAATTCTGTGATATTTTTTGAAGATTGCAAGTCTGTCCAAGAGAAAATAGCAGAAGCAATTGAAAATGATTATCACTTGAATTCTGAACCTGAACCCAGTGATTCCAGTACAGATGAGGAAGAAGAGACCTTAACAAGTGAAGCTCATGACATAAATGAAGGTGAGGTCAACTAATACGATCAGTAAGGGGATTAAATTTCACTCATTTAAAAGCATTTGTAGATGTTTCCTCCTTTAGCCTTCCTCTACAAACTATACTCTCCTCCTTCCCTTGCCTTACTGTACCTTTTATTGCCAAAAATCATGGCACTGCTTAATCTGATTCTGAAGTTATAGGTAAAACTATTTCCAGTTGGGGTTTACAGTGATTTTGAAAGAGTCCAAGCTATGAAGATTGGGTGCTAGTGGAGGAAGAATCTTGTAATAGAAATCTGGTAAATTTAACTTTGCTTCTAACCTGTTAGATTAGCATTCATGATGACATCTGGTTATGAAATTAAATCTAACCATAGCCAAGATGATTCTACTCATAAATGCCACTTCTCAAAGAAATAAAAGCTAGAGGCTAACATCATTGCTAATGCAATGGAGAGGGCTAGTGTTCTGAGCCTCAGCAAAGTAGCCAGGTCCCGAGTTTGTACCTCAAACTTGTTTCCTTCCTGATGATTGGCATTTGGGCAGTGACTTAGCAAAGCAATGTAAATCTTTTCTTGGGTTGGACTATTCCAAAAGTTTCTCATTTTGATTTTCTGCACTTTTAGATTATCTTTAATCTTAATCTTGAGTTTTAGCATTGTAACTCAAGTGTGTGCAATAGGAGAGTGCCCTAGAGTCAGTCCATTATTGGACTGTAGCAATGAACTCTATGGAACGTAAATGTTCTTTTCCAAAACAGTGATATGATGAGTTTGAAATTTACAGAATGGGGAAAAAGCAAGGCTATACATTAAGTTTGATTTAATGTCTTGCTTTACTATACCCTGTAATACCTTAATATCACAGAATATAATTGCCAACATAACTGGGACAACAGCTGGAATCCTCTGCTCCCAAAGAAGGAAATAGAGAATACAGTAGTTATGTTGCAATGTCCTAGGAAATGATGGTAGGAGAGTACTTCAATGCAGTGGAATGAATATTTATGCTAGGGGCTAGCTGAATATAGTTCATATTTTTCATTTAATTTCATTTCACCGTTACTTCATTTAATTTAATTAATGTGTTTATTGGACTAGACCAAGATGTTCAGAAACAACAAGCAATTTTTGGCTGCCATTAGTGCCAAGACTCAGACAACCTAAGACAGCCTGATTTTCAGGTGACTCAGATTTTGCTTTCAGATACTGAGGTCCCACAATCACTATTGAAAATCTTGGCCTACACATCTGGCTAGCTTCGTGGCACAGAACATTGTTCTTGGGTATTAGCAGGATAGGTCTTTTTATGGGGGGAGGAGGGGGGCACATAGGCTTAGGTGACTTATTTTTCATGTTTGCCAATTTTAGCACGCAAATAAATGTTAGACAATTTTGTGATAAAGTAAATGCTTCATATCTTTGTTTTTACCTCTTTTTTTCTCTTGTTCTCCTTCTTGCTGAGTTACAAAAGCTTGTTGTTGTTGTTGTTATTGTTTTGTTCCCTGTAGATATAGCTCTCAGTTTCCAGGATTTGTCAGGTTTGATTGCATTGTTCTGTGAATTTCATATATAATGGCACAGATGGATACCATCAGCACTCCTGCTCCTAGAATTTTTGCTTCAGGCTGTTAAATTTTAAAGGCATGTGGACCAAAGCTGCTCTTTTTTGTGGATCTCAGTATATATATTTTTAATTGACCTATAAATATAGAGCCTGATTTTTATATTTTAAAAAAAATCATTAATGATGGTGATATAGCAGGCAAAATTGCAGGGAGCTTTTCTTTTTCACAGAAGTTAAAGATCAATCCCTATTATCTCCATTTAAAGAACAAAAACTGTTTGTAACACGAGTCTATTCTAAGAGCATATGTTCATACCTGGATTTTGTGCAGTACCTTACTCAGTATAGTATTAGTTGCTGTTTTGCTACCTTGCCACAGAGAATCAAAGTGGCTTAAAAAAGGCAAAACTGCTGCATTAATACACTCCAGCTGTTTCTTGCAGTCTCAACCAGAAAATAGAACACACCCTGGGCATACTCAGTCATCACTTCCATTAGGAATAATTCCTTTGAAAGCAATGGACTGACACTGATGTAAACCAGCTTGAGTTCAGAATTGGATAGTCAGGGTTTCCTCTTTCAGGGGAAGTATTATAGTCTTGAAAAGAAGTCAAAACAAGCAAACAAAAACAGGTCTACAAAGAAGCCAGTTTTTTGTATGAAACACTTGCTGTGAAACTAATGACCGGACTGGAACAAAACCCAAACTGGAGTGTTTTGTGTACCTGGCTCTGCCTACAGTGTACCTTGTAGTCTGTTTTGTAATAAGCATTGAGTTGATTAACTCGTGTATATGCACACACAAACATGTGGATTGCAGGGGCCATAAATCTGGCTTGCTCGGATAGGTAAGAGAAATTACTGTTTTCAATTACATGCATTCAGAATACAAACTAATTTATGGGAAAAGACCTCCAATGCATTGCAATGACATAACTAGTTGACTGTTTTTAAATGCTATTTTTCAATGACTCCATATAGTTTAATTTTTATGCATCGAAGATGCTAGCTATTTCGGTACCATGGATCAGTTACATATGAAGAACAAAATACTGAATTTGGAGATTAGGGAAGCATGTCCTTAGATGAAGTAGAGAATGCTGATTACAATACACAGAAGTAAATGCATCTACAAAAATTCAACCCAGAATGCTTTGTTCCTTGCTAGCAACCATGCAGTACACTAGGAAAGATACTACTATATTATTGCAGCATATAGTTTCATAGTTATAGTTATTAGGGTCGGAAGGGACCTCTTAGATCATCAAGTCTGACCCCCTGCCCTGGACAGGAAAGAGAGCTAGGGTCAGATCACCCCAGCCAGATGTCTGTCCCATCTCCTTTTGAGTATTTCCAAGGAAGGGGACAACACCACCTCCCTTGGAAGCCTATTCCATATTTTGGCAACCCTCACTGTAAAGAACTTTTTCCTGATGTCCAGCCTGAATTTGCTCTCTTTTAACTTGTATCCATTGTTTCTAGTTACCCCAACTGTCGCCCTGGTAAACATCATATTTCCCACTTCCTGCTGCCCCCCCCCCGGATGAGTTTGTAAGTTGCCACAAGATCATCTCTCAGCCTCCTCTTGTGGAGGCTAAAGAGGTTCAGGTCTCCCAGTCGGTCCACATAGGGTTTTTTCTGTAGGCCTTTAACCAGACGGGTGGCCCTCCTCTGAACCCTTTCCAGGTTAACCACATCCCTCCTGAAGTGCGGCGACCAAAACTGAATGCAGTCAGCTGTGGCCTGACCAATGCCGCATAGAGGGGAAGTATCACCTCCCCAGACCTGTTTGTGATGCACCTACTTAAGCAAGAAAGAGCGCGGTTCGCTTTACTTATTACCGCATCACATTGGTGACTCGTGTTCATTTGGGAGTTGATTATGACTCCGAGGTCCCTTACCACAGCTGTGCTGCTTAGAATGGTCCCTCTCAGACTGTAGGAGCGTTGATGATTCTTCCTCCCCAGGTGCAACACATGAGACTTATCCTTGTTCAACTGCATCCTATTCTGTTCTGCCAATCTCCCCAGCCTGGCCAAATCCACTTGGATTTGCTCCCTGCCCTCTAGTGTGTTTACCTCCCCCCACAGTTTTGTGTCGTCAGCAAACTTGGACAGGGTGCTTACTACTCCCTCATCCAAGTCACTAATGAAAATATTGAATAGTACCGGTCCCAGGACAGAGCCTTGGGGGACTCCGCGGCCTACATTTCTCCAGGTAGAAACTGACCCATCTACTACCACTATCTGGGTGCATCCCATAAACCAATTTCCCATCCACGAGACTGTGTAATAATCTACATTGCAGTTTTTTAGTTTATTTATAAGAATTGGGTGTGACACTGTGTCAAAGGCCTTTTTAAATTCCAGGCAAACAACATCTACCTCTGTTTCCTCATCCAAGCATTTTGTGACCTGGTTATAAAATGAAACTAGGTTGGTCAGGCAGGATCTGCCTGCTATGAACCCATGCTGATTGCCCCTTAGCACTACTTTACCCACTGGTCCCCCACAAATGTGATCTTTAACTATTTTCTCAAAGGTCTTGCCAAGAATAGAGGTGAGGCTAACTGGCCTATAGTTACCTGGTTCCTCCTTCCTCCCCTTCTTGAAAATAGGGACCACATTGGCCCTTTTCCAATCCTTTGGGACTTGTTCTGAGCGCCATGAGTGCTCAAACAGTTGTGCTAGCGGGTCCACTATGACTCCAGCTAATTCCCTAAGTACCCTAGGGTGAAGATCATCAGGGCCTGTTGACTTAAATACATTCAGCCCCTCCAGATGCCCCCTTACTAGGTCTGCATGCACCGCTGGTGGGTTGGTATCTATCCTGGGCTTGTCTAAAGTCCTAATGGGATGCGTATTTGTATTCGTGTCCAGGAACACTGATGCAAAGAATTCATTTAGAATCTCTGCTTTAGCCATCCTATCTGTTACCAGTTGTCCTTGTTCATCCTGAAGTGGTCCTAAGTTATCCTGCATTTTCTTTCTGCTGCCTATGTACTTAAAAATGCCTTTTCGTTATCCTTGAATTTTGTCGCCAGCCTAAGTTCCATCTCCGCTTTGGAGATGTCCTCACTGCTTCCCTGCAGGCTCGAGCCAACTGCTGCCTATGTACTTAAAAATGCCTTTTCGTTATCCTTGAATTTTGTCGCCAGCCTAAGTTCCATCTCCGCTTTGGAGATGTCCTCACTGCTTCCCTGCAGGCTCGAGCCAAGCAGGTGAACTCCTCCTTGGTGACTGCCCCCTGCTTCCACAGCCTATAGGCCTCTTTTTTTCCTCATCAGGCTCTCCTGGATTTCCCTGCTCAGCCAAGAGGGTTTCTTTGCTTTTTTGCCTCCTGTTATGTGGACCAGGATAGTCTTTTTTTGTGCCTGCAGGATTAGTCCCTTGAAAAACGCCCGTTTGAGAAACGCCCACACTTCCTGGACTCCCATCTCTGCGAGGCTATTACCAGTTAATCCTACCCTAACTAATTTCCTGAGTTTACCAAAGTTGGCCTTCCTGAAGTCCAGCGCTTCTGCCCTACTAGTTATCTTCCCCACCTCTCGCCAGATAGTGAACTCTGTCAATAGGTGGTCACTATCCCCTAGGTTACCTTGCACCTGCATATCCCCCACCAAGACATCCCATGTGGCCAATACCAACTCTAGCAAGGCATTACCCCTGGTGGAGATGTATACCCCCTGCGATAGGTGAAAGTCTTGTAAGGAGGTTAAAAACTTACGTGAATGGGCAGACCTGGCTGCCTGCTTCGCCCAGCAGATGTCTGGGAAGTTTAAGTCCCCCATGACAACCAGGTCCTTTGAGCACACTGCCTCTGAGAGCTGCCTCGAGAATTCTAGGTCTAACTTGTCCCCCAGGTGTGGGGGTCTGTAATAGACCCCTACACTACTAGGTTTCTTTCTCCCCGACCCTCCGTAATCTGACCCATAATACCTCAATTTGCCCTTCTTGTCCCAGTTTGACTATGGAAGATGTATATTGTTCCTTAACATAGACAGCAACTTGTCCGCCCCCCCCGCCTTTTTTCCCCACTCTGTCCTGTCTGTACAGCCTGTAGCCCTTATTGCCCACTGCCCAGTCATGGGTAGGATCCCACCAGGTTTCTGTTAGACCAACCAGGTCAAATTCTTTATTTGCCAGGAGGAGTGCAAGTTCCTCTTGCTTGTTCCCCATGCTCCTAGCATTGGTATAGAGGCATCTAAACCCCCCTATAGGTGCCTCTGCTAACCTCGCATTCTGTTGGCTAGTGGGGCCCTTGTTACTTACCTGGACTGCTCCAGTGAATGGCTCATGGTTTGTCGTACCTGGCCTTTCCCTGTCATCATCATCCCCATAGCCAACCTGTAAGAGAAGAGACTCTTACCTCTTGGAGAGAGATGTAGTCCGTCTCACCCGAACAAGGCTGTATCCTGGAAGTGCAGGTCGTGATCAAGGAACCCAAATCCCGTGTGGTGACACCAGCTCCGAAGCTGCGAGTTGACTTCTGTAGTGCAGTTGCTGTGGTGCTGTCCCTGACCTCTGACTGGTAGAATGGATGAGAAGACCACCTGTGCTCCTGAACCTCTGAGCCTGGTTCCCAGCTCCATGTAGTCACGCATGACCCTGCCCGGCTGTGTCATTTGTTCCCACATGGATGAGGACCATGGGATAGTAGTTAGAGAGCCTGATCAGGTCTGGAACCCTCGTTGTGACGCCACAAATCTGGGCTCTGGGCAGGCAGCATACCTCCCGTACTGTGGGATCTGGGTGGCAGATGGCTCCCTCCATTCCTTGCAGGAGGGAGTCATCTACCATGATGACCCAATGCCTTCTCCTCCAGCTGCGTGGTTCTGTCTCAGTTGGCTTGGTGGTATCTGTAGGTGCGGCCTCTACTACCATGCTCTCTGGCAGTGATTTTAGGGCCTCAAATCTGTTCTCCAGCTGAACTGAAGGAGTCACGCTGGCTTTACAACATCTAGTCCTTGAGGTGACTGTCTGCCATCCGTCCTCATCAGCTCTCTCCTGTGATGCCTTCCCTCCAAGTGTGCGGATCTGCAGAGAATGGAACTACCCACTAATCTCCTCCTCAGTCACCCAGATCCCCCACAGCCTGCTCACCTCTGCTTGGAGTTCCCTCACCTGCCCCACCAGGGCCTCAATCTGGGCACATGTGGGACAAGTGAGGGAACCCCCTGCCCCTCCGCTACCCCTGGGCCCTTGTGGACCCACCAGGCACCTCTGCAGGCAGGAGGCCCAGTTGCCACCGACCCACCCAAGGGCTTCATCTGGGTGGAAGCCTCAGTGGAGCTCCGGGCAGGAGGCAGCATTGGGGCAGGGTCCCTGGCTATGCTCCGAGTTACCGCCCCCATTAAAGTTTCTTTTATGTACACTCACTTGAGGGCTCTGTAGAGTCTGTCTGAAACCTCTGAGTCTGATGCGTGGAATCTCTGGCCCCTGCTGCTCTCTTCCCTATGTGAACTCCCGCACAAACTCTGGTGCACTCTTTGATGAGAGTGCCTGTTTGCTGGCCTGTTCGCCCAGCTTGGGAGCGTGGCTCCCACCTGGCGTGGCTAAATAGAGATGGGAGGAGGAAAAAACCCCTTCCCAATGCCCTACAGCTGCCCCGGTTCCCTCTCCCTCTTT